CATTGGAGACTCCTTTTCTAATTATTTTTAAGGGAGCCAAGCATTTTTTATTTTTTTTAGAAATTGGAACCTACCACATTTTTTTATATGAATAAAATGAATATTTAGTAGAAGGATCCGTATGATTAGATACTAATATTATTAAGAAAATTTTTATTAGGAAAATAATTAAAAAGTATGATATAAAAAACTGATAACTCTTATAATAAAATTTTATTAAATTTTGTTGTATTATTAATTTTTTAATATTTGATAAAAAATTAACATAAGAAAAAACGGATAGAAAAGTGCAAAATAAGTTTTACATAAAGAAAATTAAGAAAAAGTTTTTTCTTTTAAAAATGCAGGAGAATAAAAGTTTATAAATTAAAAATTATATCAAAAAATAAAAATTAAAAATATCACTTTTATTCTTCTTTTTTTTTTGAAATATTAATGTGTAAAAATAAAAATAAAAATAAAAATAAAAACCAAGACATCTTCAATGTCTTCACATATAATAACAGCCATATAATACCAACGAGTGGTTGGATTAAGTAGTAAGCGGCTTGTTTCAGTTTAAGTAAGATCTCAAATTCGAGATATTGTGTACGCAGTAACTTTCGTTGGGAGACTCACCCACCATTTTCAGGTGCGCGATGCGGATCGAGTCCAGATTAGTCAGGGCGAAACCCCGTATTCCGAACGAAAAACCAAAAAATAAAAAATAAAAAATAACAGCCATATAATGTATTTGATAAAATTAAAATTTATATTATATTTTATATATTTAATAATTATAATTAAATATTTTAATATTTTTAGTCCTAGGTTATGATTTTTACTTTTCTTATAAATAAATAACTTTAAAAAATTTTTAGAAAAATTAGGGAAAAGTTTTCCTAACCCAACAGCCCCTAAAGGTGGCATAAATTTCCAGTTGCCCATGTAACATGCCCCAGCGATTCAATGTTCATGATTAGCGGTAGGTACAAAGAATGATCTCAAGAACTTTTAGAGGGGTGTGCAACGGCTACCCCGTAAGAATCTTAAGATTATATAAATTTTGTTTAATTTGATT